TTTCCTTTCTACTTCTTGGTATTTTTCGCACTTTTTTAAAGATTGCCTTGTGTTTTTCCTGTTCATTTGCTGTTGGTGTCTTTATATTTATTTTTTGAAATACTCCTTAAAACGTTTGATAAAATTATATGCAATATTGTAGATATGTGCTGAAAATTCCACACTGTACCACTAGTACTGTTTCTGGAATAAACCAAATTATTATTATTATTAATACAACTTCGGCACTGTGGTACAGTACAACTCCACTATGGATAAGATTTTATTTTGATAAATCACAGTGTTGTACAGTTACATCGACTGATGACGTTTCGAGCACAAACTATTGCTCATAATCATATCGTATCGGATACGGAGTAAAATCAGAGGTAATTATTCAATCCACTCCGTCAACTTTGTGTGGATTAAGCAGTTGACGCATGTGCCTGAGGAGCTGAGATGGAGTCCGTGAGCCTAACTCGCATGCAGTAAGTAACTGTTGGATCCGTTTCTGATCAGAAACACTCCTTCTTTGAATCAAAACTGCTTTGAGCCTATCATACTGGTGGTCTGCAGGGGCGCTGTCAATTAAATCACTAATGTCCGCTAGAACCTCTGTGGGCAGTGCGGCTAAAACACATCCATACTTTGCGAGCTGTGACTTGATTCCGCGGGTAGCTAAGAGGGGTTCGATGATGGCGAACCAAATCCGCGGCTAAGTGAAACCGAATGGCGGTAGACGCAGATCGACTATTGCGTTGATTGATGAGTCTTGTGCCTCATTAGTCTCAGTTGCAGCAGGTGAACGTGAAGGTGAGGACATGATTATTATGCGAACATACAGGTACACAGATACAAATATGGAGAATGTGCAGTCAATAATAACAATAAAAATGTAGAGTTTTTATGGAGCTAAGATGTTCAAACGGGCTCACCAATTAATTTGCTGGGGACTGCCTAGAGCAAGTTCATTAACATAGCAAATATGCAAATAAAAATCCAAGTCAATGAGAGTACAACTCAACAATATATTATCGAAATGCAGTAATGAGTGATATTAATTAATAGGTTACTTGGATATGTTTTTAAATTCACTGCTACAAATTATTTATACAATCCAGAGAAGCGCTGACTGTTGGAATCGTGTCTACTGATAGAAGCTGTGTTCCGGTTGTAGAGTTGTCTTCGGATAGGGATAATAGATTCCTGCAATAAATTCAAAGTATACAACACGGTTTGAGTGGAGCGAGTAGACAGAAATGGCCAGAGAGAAGGCGAAGCTACAAACATTATAGTGTATTTCAAATTGCACTCGGAAGTTATATGTATTTAAACATAAATCGTTTTAAACAAGAGTCATGTACAATGTTTCTAATTTCAACATCTAGCCAAAAAGTTTACAATCATATGGTTACGTACTCCACAGCGTACGTTACATTCGGAGGGATTCTCAGATGAGACATTATCAGCGTGTCTACTATTGCCTGAACAAACTGTGCTGCAATAGATGCTATTGTTTGCTGCTAACGAAATTAATCCTGTTGCATTTATTGGTTTCTGGCCTCATTACGTAGGTATCTTGTATCATTCCTCGGCATTAGACAGTCTGTTTCACTATCCAGATTGTAATTTACAGGGCTGAAGTAACCTGTTTTTAGGTTGTTTTGAGGGTAGTCTGTGCTAGGTCTTTCACAGTTGTACATTTGTGGACTTATTTCGTGCATGTACATAGAAGGAGTCAATCTATACCCGTAATACCGATCGGGCTTTACGTAACTACTACGAGGGTTCGAGTATGCATTTCCGTTCATATGGTACCTAGTGGTGTCCCGTCTAGTAGCCCATGTGTTTTCATTATTTATTCTGGGTCCCGTTCTCAGGTTATATGAGCCTATCGGCATATCACCACCTCGGCTATTGCGGAAATCGTGGATCTCACTCTACTGTTGAATCAGCTCGACTCCCCTTGCGTGTCTGCTAGCGTATGATTTTGTGTGGATAGAGCTATATTTACTGTTAGCTTTCACCTCGTGTCGTCTGTCGTCCACAGTTTGTCTACTACTCTTGGTTCGACGAAGAGCACTTCCACTCTCGTGTTCCGTCTCCTTTATGGGACTCGCCGAAATTCGTGCATAATTCATTTTTAGGCCAACATGCTGCTTGTCGGGCTTGTCACAAGGGAGGTATATGGACGCTGGTGGAGAGACCTTTGTGTTAGGGGACTTCTTTACGGCTTTTCAATGAGATTATCTTGCTTGGCCCTGGGTGCAGTGTTATCTGCCGATATTTGCAGGTTATCTGTAGCGGGGGCATCTATGTCTACTTCATGTGTGGGGGCGGTAGATTTCCTAGGAGTTTTCCCACGAACTTCTAATCCTATTCCAGTGTTACTGCTCCTTTTGGGTTTCCCTTCACCTTCGCGTGTCATTTGTTCACCTAGTACAATGCAAGTGTCACTTTGTGCTTCAGTGTCCTTTGATACTTCGGCACTGATGCTATTCATGATTTGTGGTATAGTCGTCTTCGTATCTAAGGTGTTTCTAGCTACTTGTCGTTGGTTGGGGGTTTTGTCCGAGAACATTTTAACATTTTTAAATTTCGTAGTGGAGGCTAAAGTACCCCAGATTTCCTAAATTGTTCTGCTATTATACAGCTGTCAAACCTGAAAAGTATGGGACATGTGCGGTTAGACTCCTTTTTATTTAGTCTAATACACTGACAGGGTGTACTTAAGAGGTTTGCAGCTCTTAACAAGGAGTGCTGAACCGACTTTATGGTCTCATTGTCAGGTATGTTGTACACTATGGCGTTCTGTTTAGAAGCAAGTCGCTGAATAACTACGCTTGACAAATAGTCCATGGCATTCCCTAGCTCCTTAGCATGTTCCAATTCATTATCTGTTGGTTCAGTCCTCAATTAAAAGAGTTTAGGAAAATTGAGATACCCCAGTTCCTTTTTAAAATGTAAGATTGTTTCTGGTACCGGGTCAAGTAGATTTAGTTTCGTCCTAAGGTCATTTATTTGTAGCTGCATGTCGTTCATGATGCAGAATAAGTTTGTAATCTCTGCCTTTTCTGACAGGATATCTTCCACCTGTATTACTGGGGTTAGAATTATGTTGGAACCGTTTGTATTGGATGAACTACTAATTACAGCTGATTTTAGGGGTGATAATGCGTTACTAGATAAGCTTAATCTATTTTGAAATTACTAGTGTTCCTAAGAAAACGGTTTTTAGAGTTTTTGCCCATTATTATTGGTGATAATATAGCAGAACTGAAAAATGAATATCAGCGAAAACACGTACAAAAGTGTCACCAAATTCGAACGTGCTACAAGTTTGAATACTTGACGTACGTGAGATTACACAAAGTGAGTGCATCTGTGCCAATAACAGAGATTTGCTGCCATATCTCTAGTAGTTCTTCTAGCTGACTGTCAACGACTTTATGAACCAATACCAGTTTTTCATCTGACCAACCCAAACACCATTTGAACCTCAACTTGTGCTTGCTAACATTGACTCTTGAGGAGGGCGATGGCTTGGTATGCCAGCACGTGTTCTAGCCATCTCAACCTATTCAGCTTCCCTACCTTGAAGACTAACTTACCCTCATAACCTAACACTTTATGCGTAACCTCAACACCACTCAACATATTATACTGCTTTACACATGAGATAAAACACAGACGCCTATAATCAAACACCGCTATCCTTTTCATATTTCCCAGCATCAGGGGTTACTTCTCATAGTCTAGGTGTACAATATCATCAGCAAACTGTAAGTTGATGAGACTACTCCCTGATAAGTCTCTAAAGTCAATTATAGACCACTCTACTAATATATGCGTGACTGAATTGAACTGATATAAGGATGACAGTTTAAGAAATCAGCCTTGTTTTACATCCCACTTAGAATTGTGTTTTCGCAGATAATTCGCAAACAGCATTCAGTGAATAGAAAACATTCTGTAGACTTTATGAAACTCATAAACTGATGCAACTTAGTGTTTCCTCAATGAAGTGAGAATTGGATATTTCGGCTGCATAAAACAAGTGGTATACTGGCAATACCAGTGACAACAACAAGTCTAGGAATTATGCACTACAACTTTTACTTTACTGAATACTCGAGTATTCTGCTGGATCCAGCAGAATCTAAATGAACACTTGACAAAGATCAAATTTATCCAGGAAGTCAGTAAGATTTAGTAAACTCAAAGCACATTCGGTTTCCATAGGAGTTCTCCATGCCAAATTTATTACTTTAAGGGCCTTCCAAGAATACAGCTTCAATTAAATAGCACTGACGTGGAAGAACTTCCATTTTTCATTACTAAACTTAATGAAAATAATCATGTTAAGTAATTCCCGTGTGCTGTTTAATTTTTTGTTCTGAAAACATGAGCATTCGTAATCTTTTACTTTATGTAAATGCAGTTACATACAGTTGCACTAAGAACTCAGTGTAACTCGCTGCGCAATAGTATCTATATGAATAAACTGAAAAATAATGTCCTCCTTACCTTCTGAACAACCTGTCCTTATTCCTGGACAATCACTTTCTTTCCCCTATGACCCTAAGTTATGTCTATGAAATCGTAATATTATATTGATTAAATCTTCCCCAAAACCAAGGCCACTTGAAACCCACAGCAACATAGCAACAAGCATTATAGCGAGGATATGCAGTAAAGCCTCTCGCAGATCTCTTTTATTAACAAATCTGGAACTAGTACGTCACTCCTCCAAAGTTAACCACTAGTACCATAAATACTGATATGCATATATATATACTCAGTACTAGGACTTAACACTACGGTCAGTTGGAAGGACTGATATAGAACTTTTCGATTGATGTAATTGTTTACAAACGCTAATTTATATAGATTGTTAATCGTCATCGCGCCCAAATTAACGATTGTCAAGGCCATGTTTGTATCCATGCTGTCACTTAAGAGATATTTACTCTGGATTTTCAAGGTTTTTCAATTTCATAATTTGTTCTAACTAAATTTAGAGGTCTAAAAAGTCTATTGTTGAACAGCTCGAGGATATTGATGACGTAAATAATTGAAATGTAATGCAGTAGATACTTGTAGGAAATCTTAGAACTGGAGAGTGAACGATCCAAGAGTATTGATTCAGAAAAGAAATTCGCATACAGGCTTATGTTCTACGCTATAATAATCTTTGGTCTAAGCTTAATCCTTGTTTATTACTATTACTGGCCACAAACATTGGGAGGACAAATCACAGTATCCCTGATATTCTCTCTGTATCTGCTTTGGTATGTTCACTTCCAATCTCCTCATTTATCAGCATATTGCTGTTGAAATATTTTGTCCGGATTATATTCACGAGACGCGTTAACAGGACAAGTAAGTTCGATTAATGCGCTAAATATATTTTTAGATGAAAAATTGAAAAAGCTGCGTGCAACGAAACAAAAATTGGTGCGTTCTAACAAATGTATTTATTTCTTATGACAGTTAGATGATGTGAGGGAGAAAGAGCCATACAACAAGGCGCAACAGATTCTGAAGCGTTTTGATCCATTAACATTTGCTTGCATAGCTGCAGAGGTAGGACGACTTCATGTTATCATTTTTTTGTTTTTGACTAGGAAAGAAAGCTTGCAAGGCCTGGCTTTGGCTCCATGATCAACTTGGAATCCTCCCAGTCAGAAATACGACGTCGAAATACTTGCGACGCTGCTGCAGGTGATAGACTTTCGAATCCTGGATTATCAAGTGCACAATTTGTTGCTCCTTTTTACCGTGTACTTGATATGCGTCTTATTAAATTGACGTAGCACTTCATAGCGAGCAGTAATTGTGAAGAGAAGAAAGTATTTGTTAGGTCGAACTTGTAGGCTGAATACTTTACAAACATGATTATATATATATATATATATATTGGTTTAGGATAAAAGGTTTGAAGTCTATGTTAATCCTTCTGGAGTAAATTTCTGTGCTTGTCCAAGCCTTTCCTGAATAAGCCAATTGAGGTTGCAGATATCACTTCTTCTGGGAGTTGGTTACACAGGTTGATGACGGTGTGTAAAGTATTACTACACAGCAATAGTTTCTTCTTGGCTTTTGAACTCCCCTGCTGTCTTCTAAGGTGTTGTGACCTAATGGAAAGGAAAAGAGGGAGAGTAGATCAGGTCCCTAGTCAATATAATTAAGATTTGAAATATTGCAGTGAGATCTCTCTGCCTACGATATTATAGGGAGAAGAGATTTAAACTGTCTAGTCTTTCCTCGTATGATAAATTATTCACGCCGAGAATCATCCGTGTTGTCTTCCTTTGAAGCCTTTCTAGGATATGTGAGTCCCATTTAAGACTATGGCTGACCCCCTGTATACAGTTTTCCAGTTTTGACGTCAATGGGGATGTATGTGAAGAGCTGAATATATATATGGTTAATATATGAATAGTGTAATTTAGCAAGTTATCGGTTTTCATTGATCATACATCCTTTCGACTTAGTAAGCATTTATCACAATGTTCGTGTGTTTGTATGTTGATTATTTTAAGGATATAAATAATTATATCTTTAGAGTATTTAGCTAATGCGTCTTATCGAAGTTTGTGATTTCATCAGTTACTGCGTTTCCATATTTGTGTTCTCTTTACACTTATTATAGATCTCCGTACAAAAATTGACCTAATGTTTTGTTTTTTTACCATGGTGATATCAGTTTTACTGTCGGTCCTCAGACTTATGGCCTTACGTACATTTAATGAAGGCGTATCTAAGTGTGGTTGGTGACTGACCGATTTTTACCGTAGAAATCTGCACAGAGGTAGAGGAAAAAAGGCAGTTTAGGAAAGGAGATCGTTAACGTAGAGAAACATGACGCAATGAATTTCGAAAGGGTGAATGCATCTGCACCACTGATGACGATTTTAAGTCATATAACAAAGTCTCAAGTCATTGGTTTTTGGCATCCTAAGGATCTCAAAGTAGCAGTGCACACTACCATAGCATAGTTAACAGTTGTTTGTGAATAAACCACTCAGAGAAGTATACTGCAGCTAGAGAAGTAGATAGTCATCTATCGCCTTATTTTTTTTCAACCTGACAACCAATCATCACTTCACATGCTTGTCACACATATGGATTCACACATGTAGTTTCGACTTAGCATTAAGTATACGACTTATTGTAACTTGGCGTTGTTAGTCAATCAACGTTTTACTAATTAACATGTGTAAAACTTGGGTACTGTGGTAGTAAGTGATTCCATATTACTTTTTATTTATTAGATATATCACACAGTGAAACAGTATTATTTATTGGATGACGAGGTTTCAAACACAATTTATTTATTGTTCACAATCATATCAATTGTAGTCACACGACTTCGAAACTTGAGTTTTATAGTTGTCTCTATTCTTTCTAATTTGTCATCGTAGGTGTTATAGAATTTTCCAGATGTCTGTAACAGGTGTTGAATCATTCTTATTACACGTGTTGGTAGTTGATTGGATTAATAAACCGTCCGTTATCAATCTCTCCCTTCACCTTGTTACATTAGGTTTTAAGTGTCACCTTATCCCATCATCCTATTGTATGGTTGTGTGTAATAGAATGTAGTACAATAGGTGGACTATATATCAGATTTCTTATCTTATTAGGGTCAGCTAGTCTACATTTTGCTAGGATTTTGTGCTGCTCCACCAGTCTGGCAGACTGAGCCTGTTCTGCTCCACAGGATCCTTTAACTGACAGAGCTTGTTTCTAATTGAGTTTGTGGGTTTGAGCGTTTTACTAATTTTAACTTTAATCATCCGCTTCTTTGTGCTTGAATAGTATAAAGAAAGTAACATGGAGCTGAAAGAGAGCTGTGATTATAACATGTTCTCTAGTGAAACCAGTCCGTCAGTCAGTCAGACCTCTTTGCTGTGCCTATTGGACCTATTTTAACAATATATGTGGGGTATATCGATATAAGGCGTCTGTTTATTGGTCTACCAGACGGAAAAGTTCAATATGAGAATGATAACTGATTTCAGTTTCGAGGATTGCTTTAATCTTGACTGTATTTACGACACATTCATATTTTTTTATTAACTATTTGAATAAAGTACCGTATTTGTGGTCAGGCATAAAATGGACCCGCACAAAAAACTTGGAGGGTCTTGACTTCGCTTATGATAAATGTCTGATTTCCCATAAACTCGAAGATATGCAAGTAAAAAGCAACAAGGTGGCAGAAGAAGCATCCAGAGAAGTTAGGACTTCCTTCAGGTGAACATGCGGTAAACAGAGGTGATGAAGATTCCTGGCCAACACCAACAGACAAAAATCACTGTAAATGGGAGAAATCTCAAAGAAACAACCTTCTTTACCTACCTGGGAAGCATCGTTTCAACTACAGGCGGAACTAAGGAAGATATCAGAGCAGCAAGGATCGGGAAAGCAAGACAAGCTTTCATTACTCCCAAGTCTGTGTGGAGATCAACAACAGTGAACATGAAAAATAAGATCTGGATTTTCAACTCCAATGTGAAGTCAGTGCTACTATACGGATCAGAGACTTGGAGCGTCATAAAAAGCATCTCAAACAAACTACAGACCTTCATTAACAGTTGTCTTCGCTCAATACTCAAGATCAGATGGCCAGAAAGGATCAGCAATAGTGAGGGATCTCTGGCAATGAACGAATCAACCAACCCAGCAGGAACCAATTGTGCAACAAATATGAAGGATGAAATGGAGGTGGATTGGCCATACTCTGAGGAAACCATCAAGTGACATACATCACACGCCAGGCCATCGCTCCAGTGGAACCCAGACGGTAAGCGGCGAGTTGGTCGTCAGTGTGAGGGTGCCATGGAGGAGGCGATATGAAGAGGAGATGAAAGCATATGGGCAGACTTGGAACCAGGTGAAAACGTTAGCAGAGAAGTGAACGCAATGGAGGCGTGCTGCTGAAGCCCTATGTTCCTCTAGGAATTAAAGGAAATAATGGAAATAATAAATAAAATAATTTGTTGTCAGTAAGCTTAAACTCCTTTCACAGGCATCTGTATCATTTGATCAGTAGCATCACTTTTCATGGAATAAACAAGTATACAAGTAAAGTTAACATCTTTACTAAAATGGCATTAGTAATGATTACCACCATTAGTTTGGTGATAGTAAGTGTTTGATTCTACTTTTGTTTTTTTTCCTTTTGTGTTGTTGTTTTGTAGACCAAAGTGTGCCTACACAACCAAATGGTTCCGTTCAGGCACCAGCAATGAACAAACCACGTTTGATAAGACCACTTTTGCCTAGAGAACGTTCATTAGTTGATAGACTGTTGGATCTATTGGTCGGTGATGGTCCTGATAAACGGTTTGCTCTAATCTGTGGCGAATGTGCTGCGCATAATGGAATGGCTTTAGAAGAAGAATTTGAATATTTAGGTTAGTTGAACCTCTGTTATATATTATTTAAACTGGTGTTTTTTTAAAAAAATTTTTATTACATGTTGTGGAAATAGCTTTGTACATTGAGTTGATCACGGATTGATATCAGTTAGAGAACCGTTGAAAACCAGCAGTAGAGAGTACTGGACAGCTGTTTCATCAGCCTAGTTTGGGAATCATCTGCACCCACCTCCAGAGTTCAGACCCAGGATCTTGCGGTTACAAGGCAAGCTGGCTCGTATACAATTCATCCACAAACCAACTATAGCAAATTAATTTGATGCTTGCTAGTGACTGACTAGCTATAGGACGAAGTTCTAGTGAGAAGTCGTGAGCAGTAAGGTCCATCCAGTCAAGTGTGAGGATGGATTTCCCACCGATGATCATCGAATGGTTGGTGCCAGTTGCGCTAAATGCATCACGAATTGGTAGAAGTTAGAATTCATGGGCTGACCATTGAATCGGTTGGGTCCCAGTGGCTGAATGATATACGAGCGCCAGCTTGCCCTGTAACTGGAAGGTCCTGGGTTCGAACCCCGTTGTGGTGGGTGCGTACTGCCGATGATTCCCAAACTAGGCTGATGAAACAGCTCGCTGTCCAGTACTCCCTGTAACTGGTTTTCAATGGTTCTGTAACTGATATCAATGCGTGATCAACTCGTAAATAACAAAACTAATCCTTACAAACTAAACTATAGAAAATTTATGCATTGAATAAAATGTAATTTATCTGGATAGTATGCAGATGTGCCTCCTCATCTGCTTAAGCTAATAGGCCTAGGATTTAAATTTCACTCCATCTATCTCCGTCTGAGTAACTGAGTAGTGTCACATTAACGTCGTATATGATAAATGTGCTTCGTAACCTGGTACATGAAAAATCTGCCGCAGGTAGCTTAGTTCTGACTAACTTAGCTTGTGGTAATGGTTTAACGTCCGACCGATAGCTGCTACCGTGATATGATGTTCGGCGTTGCATGTCGCAATAGCTCAACAGGCTACACTGGCTAGAATTATTGTCCCTACAGGTCCTAGCATGCCAGGAAGGTTGTTGGGATAGCGATTAGACTAAAAGCAGTTACCGGTGCAGTGTAAGAATTTGTTTTTACAGTATGCTGGGGGTCTGTGGGCAAAGTGGTACTGTCACTGGGGAACAGGTATGTAAAAGCAGTGAGGTGTTTCCTTTAGATGACCAGCATGCCAGCCAGCTATGCTGTCTGTCCACTCTAGAGGGAGAGAGGGAGTTAGAAAAAGTTGAACCCAACAATTGTACATCTCGACTTACCCCACTTACGGTGGTCCGTAACCGGTGGTAAGTTTACTGATACGGAATCAAACCAAGAAACCAGTTCATACCGGCCGTGTGTGACTGGTCGGCCTCAAGCAGTTGTCCCCTGGGCTCTACGGTCACGCAACACTAACCCTCTTTCTGTTTCAGGTACCCGAATAATCAACCAACTTCTACAGTGTTGGCAGCTGGGAGGTAACAGCCGCGCACACATTTCCAAGAGCACACGAAGAAATTGTACTACTGGCGAATAGAGAGGTGTAACGCCAGCAAGATGTTTGTCTCATGCCCAGGAGGAAGTCAGTTGTGTTGTTTCTCCTCTTTTGAAGGGTGTGTGTGTGTGCTTAGTAGAAGTGGATCTTAAAAACTGTACATTTTGACTTTGTGACATTTGGTAGAGAACAGTAAAATCTTTATATATATTCCACTATCCAGTGGAAATAGGAGGTAATCCTGTAGCGAATCTGACTGATAGACCATAAGGTATCATGCAGATGTATTCTCTCCCTTTTCGTTGATAAAGATTTGGTCAGGTAAATAGAGTAAATTCACTGTGTGGCAGAACGATTTACGAACACAGATCTGTATTCTACTGTTATCTATTCGTAGAATAAGCAGACGACGGAATGTGTTCACAGTGTAAATGATCTATCTAAGTTATTCACTGACCTTTTTTGAGTAGATGATGTGTCAGTTTGATTTTAAAGATGCCTGATTTTTATTCTATGCTATCAATATTGCTTTCCAGCATTATTTATTACCATATGACATAAATATACCAGTTGGAGTCATTCAGAATAAGTTATCACCTAATACAACACTCCATATATTTTTTAATGGCGATAGATGTTTGCGTCTAATATCTTGCGTTAATTCCCCGATGAATAGATGAATTAAGGTATTACTGGGGTGAATTGTGTTACCGAGGAGTAATCTTGTCGATTTAGAGGATGTAAATGATATAGTCTTTTTAAGTGAAGACACTGGAAAAATTCAGTCTTCTGAATACCTTGAGAAGAAATATTCGTATGTTTGTTGTACGATTTGTCTCTAGTCTGCACTGACTCCTATCTTAAGGATCGTGGGTGAAGCCGTAGAGCATTTTGATCAATTAACCTATCTGGGAAGTTACAATCGTATAGTGGCACTGACTTCACATTGGAGTTGAAAATCCGGATGTTATTTTTCATGCTCAGTGCTGTTGATCTCCACACAGACTTGAGAGTAAGGAAAGCTTTCCTTGCTTTCCCGATCCTCGCTGATTTGATATCCTCGTCAGTTCCGTCCGTAGTTAAAACGATGCTTCCCAGGTAGGTTGGTAGGTGAAGGAGGTTGCTTCTTTCAGACTTCTGCCGTTTACGATGATTTTTCTCAATTGTTGTTACTGTTGCTGTTTCCGTCGGCCAGCAATCTTCATCACCTCCGTTTTTTCTGTGTCCACCTGAAGGAAGTTCTATCTTCTCTGGATGCTTGTTCTGTGAACTTGTTGTTTTTCACTTGTATATCTTCCAGTTTGTGAGAAATCAGACGTATATCATCGGCGAAGTCCAGATCCGCCAAGTTTTTTGTGTGGGTCCATTTTATGCCTGTCTCCTGGCTTGTTGTCATACTCATAGTGTGTTGCAGTGATCTCAATCGATGTAGCTTCACAACCTCATCGAATTGACTTGTCATCCTTAACCAACAGTCTACACCTAACCTCTATATTACTCACCAATATTATTATTTATTTATGTATTGTTATTGTTTCCTTTAGTTCCTAGAGGGAACATAGGGTGTCTCGGCCGCACGTCTTCATTGCGTTCACTTCTCTGCTAGTTTCACCTGGCTCCATGTCTGCCCACACGCTTTCATCTCCTCTTTATATGACCTCCTCCTTGTCACCCTCGCACTGACGACCAACTAACTCGCCGCTTCCCATTCGGGTTCCACTCGAGTGATGGCCTGTCTAGTGATGTCACGTAGTGGTTTCCTCAGAGTATGACCACAATCCACCTTCCTTTCTTCCTGCATATTTGTTGCACAATCGGTTCCTGCTGGGTTGGTTCGCTCCCGTAGATCCGTCACTGTTGCTGATCTTTTCTGACTGGCCATCTGATCTTGAGTAGTATTGAGCGAAGACAGCTGGTAATGGAGGTCTGTAGTTTGTTTGAAGTGCCCTGCGTGAGGCGGCACCAAGTCTCTGATCCATATAGTGAGTAACACTGACTTCACATTGGAGTTGAAAATCCGGATCTCATTTGTCATGTTGAGTAGTGGTGTTGATCTCCACACAGACTTGAGAGTAATGAAAGCTTGCATTGCTTTCCTGATCCTTGCTTTGATATCCTCGTCAGTGTTCTCCGCTTGTAGTTGAAACGATGCTTCTCAGGTAGGTAGGTAGGTAGGTATGTGAAGGAGGTTGTTTCTTTCAGACTTCTCCCATTTATGCTGATTGTTGTCTGTTGGTGTTGCTGCAGGCACTGTCATTCATCAATTTTATACCACTTAATACTAGAGAGAGAGAGAAAAATCAAATATCTGTGGTCAAAGACATTTAGCCTTCTCATATCTCCCACTTTCTATGACCATGTCTCACAAACATAAAGTATGACGGATCAAAGTGTTGCGTGGTACACACACATCCTATGATTGATAGATGGATATCGCCTCCGTGTAGCAAAGGTGTGAGCGTTTTTTCTATCTGTGCTAAGATTTCGTTAGCAATCAGTTTACTGTTATGGCTGAAAGTGAGTGAAGTGGTAAACACTCTCTACCACTAGCATGACCTTAACATTTAAAAGGATCGAATCACATGCCAAATACTCGAAGATTTCTACTCAAGTTGTTGAAAAGACCCTGAATTTTGTTTGTAATATTTCAGTAATAAAATAGTTTATTTAGTTCCATATTAGTTTGTTTATTAGATGTATCACACAGTCAGTGAAACTGTATTATTTACTGGATGACAAAGTTTCGAACACAATTCGCTTATTGTTCATAATCATGTCAATTACAATCACACAACTTTGGAACTTTATATAGTTTTATAATTTTCTTTGTCCACTCGTATTTTTCGTCGTAGGGGTAGTAGGGTTTCCCAGATATCTGATTGGACAGGTGTTGAATAATTCCTACCACACCTATTCTCTCTCAGTTGATTCGATAAACAAAGCTTCTGTTATCAATCTCTCCCTCCATTCACCCTGTGACATTAAATTTTAAAACTCATCCTATCCCACCCTGTTGTATGGTTGGTTGTGTGTAATTGCATGTAGTGAGTGCTATAGCTGAACTATTCTCTCGTTTTCTTATCTTGTCTGGGTCAACTAACCTAGATTTCGCTGCTAGGTTTCTATGTCCTGCTAGTCTGACTGCGCCTGTTTTACTAGTGTGACCTCTGTATTTGTATATATGTACATATAAGAGAAGCCTTGAAACTTGATAATTACCCTGATAAATTAGTCAGGAAATATGTATGGAAATGTAAAAATAAAATAAATATTGATAGTAGTGATTGTGATAATTATTATAATAATCACGACATGCAAGTCAAATGTGCGCAAGTTAACATCAACAATAAGGAATCTAAATCATCAGTAGTACTTACATACAGGGAAGGAACCTTGGAAACCTTACGCAGAATTCTAAACAATGCTGGCAGGAATAAAAGTGGCTAGCATTCAAACACCCCACAAACTCAATTAGAAACAAGCTTTGTCGGTTCCAGGATCAATCCTGTGGCGCCTTTAAAACAAAACAATTCAGTTTATCTAATACCCTGGCTGCAATGATTGTCAGGTCAAATACATAGGTCAAAGTAGTAGAACAAGGTCAGTCAGACTAGCCGAACATAAAAACCTAGCAAAATGTAGATTAGTTGACCCGAATAAGATAAGAAATCAGGAGAACAGTTCAGCTATAGCACTACATGCAGTTACACACAACCATACAATAGGATGACGGGATAAGATGACAGTTTTAAAATCTAATGTAACAGGGTGAATGGAGGGAGAGATTGATAACAGAAGCTTTGTTTATCGAATCAACTGAGAGAGAGTTCGTGTAATAGGAATGATTTATCACCTGTCCAGTCGGATATCTGCAAAATTCTACTACCCCAACGACGACAAATAGGAGAGAATAAAGAAAACTATAAAACTCAAGTTTCGAAGTAGTGTGATTATAATTGATGAAATGATTATGAACAATAAATTTTGTTCGAAACGTCATCCAGTAAACACTAATACTGTTTCTGTGACTGTGTGGTACATCTTATGAACAAACTTACATGGAATTACTTACTAGCACAGTGTTATAATTCCTCTCTCATACTCCCCTGTTTTTTTAACTTCTCTTCTTCATTTAGCATTTCGGTGTTGCTACTGTAATCATTTTAATCCAGCGCGTCGTTCCCGATTACAGACCTCATTGGCATCAAGGAGTATTGGCAACTTGGATCCAGTCAATTCACAGTCGACACCTTGCCTACTAAGTGAACCTAGCCCCACAGGTTTACTGGAAACAATGGCAGAAGAGGTGACAAGAATCTCAGGCGACGATGGCAACCTCATGAATGAGCATAATGATGACGGCAACACTAGGATTGTTGATGTCCCCCGGAATGCTATCACAGCTAATGGAGACGATAATGCTGAGGATGATGTTGATAATAAGAGTGACAGTAATAAAGGACATCTAACAAATGGATTCACCAAAGATGTGGGTTTACACAATGCTGACAGCAGTAGTAATAGTGATGGTGTGGAGGTTAGTCATCCTAATTGTGATAATTAAAACCAGTCTATACCTGTGAAAAAGGAAATTGATTATCTCAGGAAATTTCGTCGCCAAAGTACAAATTTGTGTTGTTGTTGTATGATGTTCTGTGTTAATTCTTCACTTTTGCCTTTCCTCTTCTAATTTCACAGTCTCTCAGTGTGTATATATCTGTTTTACATATCTATTTATTCTTTATTGTTTCTTATTAACGAGCACAGTCGTTATAAGGCTGTCTTACTTTCGTTTATTGTCGATGAATAGGCGTGTATTGATGAGGTTCCCCTCGATGTACATATTTATACACACACAAAGTCTGTGCGTTTTTGTCTCTGTTTTTCGTGTACACATGTATCTACTATCATCTGTAAAATAAACTTTTCCAGTGTCTTTTGTTTTCTCTCCTTCCCGGTGTAATTCTTGCTTTTTGTTCAATATGAATGTTTGTTAAGATTTTCAGGGGAATATAGGTGGCATATTTGCCATTTGTTGACGCGAAAGTGGCATTTTGTCGATTCTGTCGATCGACAGGTACTATGGCAATGTTAAGCTAGCGTTCTATCTCCCGCGTGAAGTGGTATAATAAGGTGAGCAATATTGAGGTTAGGCGTCGAGTGCTAGGTAAGGCGGGGAAATCAATCGACGAGACTGTCAAATTACATCGACTGAGATGGTGAGGACATGTATTACATATGCCTAGTCATCGCCTTTCTCGACGGGTAATGTTAGCTGATATCGGGCCAGGCTGGAAAAGAGCTAGCAGATGGCGGTCAAACCAAAACATGCCATCAGTCAATGAAGTCCACAACAGTTAGTGTAAGCCATGTAGGAAGGTGTAGACTTCCTGGTTGGGGTCCTCGGGATGGTAAAAACCAATGGTTGAAGCAATTGGTGACATGGCTCAAAATCGTTCTCAATGGCTAGCGCAGATGCATCCACTCCTTGTGACTTATGATTTCCAATTAAACTGTTTTGTTCTGCGTTATTACTATTCCTTTGTCTCACACCTCTGTTTACTGTCTCTGATATGCATTTCTCCTACTTTCTTCTCTTGCTTTGTGTGGTACATGCAGGGAGTGTGGCGACTTGAACTGCTGAACATATGCCCAAAGTTCTATGTCGGAAACCGACCGACCGACCGAGTGTTAGGCTAGCGGGAAAGGGAATGCTGAGAAAATATATTTCGTGTATTGATTAAGGTGGCCACCAGGTAAGAATCTACGGAGAGTGTTGTCATCTGACAAGTATGATGACAACCAGTGGTTTTTGCCAGAAATGGTCACTGTCTCCAAATCTTGTGCACTGTGTAGGTAGAGTGTAACTCCATTATGCGTAAATTTTGTTTTGATAAAGTCTCACAGTGTTATACAGTAATGTTTACTGATGACCACGTTTCGAGCTGGTAATTTAAATCCAGAGGATGTCATTCCTAACATAGAAGTAGCACTAAGCTCAATAGATAAGACGACAACAGAAGAGGTTCGAGGACAATGTGCATTAGCCCTGACATACAAAACAGAGCAAAATCAAACTAAACAAAATCGGGAAGATTAGCTCTAATTGGTCTAAAATAGGATAAAGACATCGTCATCACAAAAGCTGATAAAGGGAACTCTACAGCAGTTTTGGATAAATCTGACGATATGAAGAAAGTCACTGAACATATAGAGACGGGTCCATATAAGGAAATTAAGACGCCTATGGATACAATAATGAGTAAGGTTCAATACGCAGAATGAAGGCGTCACTGGGTGAGTCAAAATGGTTTAATTTAATGCCTAAAACTAATAATGCCAGCAGAATATATGGTGCTATTAAAATACATAAGCCAGGTTACCCCATACGACCAATAGTAGATTTCAGAAATACGTCACCTACGTATGAATTATCAAAACACTTAGCTCTAATATTATGCCCCATTGGAAATCGCTCAAACTCTAGACTAGCTAATTCATTTGAGATGAAAAATAAACTAAATGACATAGAACTAGGGAATGATGAAACAATGGATAGTTTTGATATAACCAGTCTTTATACTAACATACCAATCAATGTGGCCTTAGAAGCAGTTAAAAAGGAATTAACTGCAGACCCTGAACTCACTTATAAGATAAAACTACCCATTGAAGAAATTATTTTAGGAATTCAGTTGTGCCTCACATCTACTATCTTTAAATTCCAAGGAAAAATATATAGACAAACTGAAGGTGTAGCAATGGGATCACCAATATCCCCTATCGTAGCAGATATCTTAATAGACAGCTGAGAAAGTACTGTTCTTGATACATCTAATCCTATTCCAAAGATAATATGGTGAAGATATGTGGATGACACTTTCACAGTGTTAAAAACAGAACATATCTCTAGCTTCTTGGCACACATAAACTCACTAGTGGAGGGAATGAAATTCACATTTGAATCGGAAAATGAACAAGGAGAATTAGCTGTGCTGTTAGATTGTAAAATAAAACGAATAGAAGAAGGCAAACTACACACTAGTGTTTATAGAAAACCAACGCATTCTGCTAATAGATATTTAGACTTTAATTCATCCCATCCATCGTTATCTGTAAAGGCAGGCTTAGTTAAGTGTTTAACAAACCGAGCAATGGCACTAAGTAGCACAAAAAAGACCAAAATGATGAAATAAAACAGATAAAAGAGGCGTTGATGTTAAATAGCTATCCTTTAAAATTTATTAGGAAGATTGAAAAAGGCCAAAAGAAAGATACAAAGAATTGTGAAACTAGTAATAATAACATGAATAAGAGAGGATATAAGTCATGTACAGTTATACCATATAAGGAGAGGACATCTGAGACCCTTGGTGCGTAGGGTCCTTAATAAAGTAGGAATTAAGGTTGTTGCATTTAAACCTACAACCTCACTCAGGTAGAACAAGGTCTGTACGTTAAAGGACCCTGTCGGTTGACCCAATTAAACAAAATAATATAATTTACAAAATACCCTGCAATGACTGTGGGGTTAAATGCATAGGTCAAACTAGTAGGTCAGGGGTAGTGAGATTGTCTGTGAGAACATAAGAATATTAGCTAAGGTAAGAATGGTTGACCCCACCAGCGAAGATAAGTAATTTAGAAAAAAGCTCAGCAATTGCAATGCATGCATTAACACACAATAGGGTGAGTGGGAGAGGGTTAAAATTCTAAAAAGTAATCTAGGTAGGAGGAGAGAGAGTTTGATTGCTGAATCCTTGTTCATCGAATCTACACCCAACACATGCAATAGGAATGATTCATCACTCATACCCGAAATATGGAAGATACTACTACCAATCAAATCAAGTGATGAACAATGGAACCATATAAATGAATTTAGGAATTCGTGTGATTACCTTGATATGATTATGAGCAATAGATTGTGCTCGAAACGTCATCAGTAAACATTATTGTATAACACTGTGAGACTTTATCAAAACAAAATTCACCCATAACGTCTCCAAATCTGTTTAATTTCATGATAAATGCATGTTTGAATGGACTTAACTCTAAATGTTGACTTCAGCGAATCGGGGATTGACTTGTTACCATTAGGGAATAATCTCGTTGACTTAGAAAATGCGGATGATGTGTAGTCCTGCCTGCTGAGTGAAGATACCAACAAAATGCAGAGCCTTTTGAACATCTTGAGAAGCAATTTCTAAATATTTGGCGTGCTATTTGCTTCTGTTGAGTGTAAAATGATGCTACAGGACTAGACTACATCGACTCACTCCTAGCCTACGGAGCGTGTTGACCACCACTTCAATTATTTGCGAAGTTGCGTATCAGCCAGTCCCAGCAGGTTTATCGTCTACGAAACCAGCGCGGATATAGAAGGTTCGTTTGGCACTTACCGTCTCTGGTTTAGTAGAGGTGATATCCGACTGGGTATCGACCAAAGGACGTATGTACTGCACAGCAGCAGTTCTCTCCGCCCTCCTTTATGACTGGCTGTGTGTGAGACATGATCATTGAAGTTGGAAGACGTAAAATGCCTGGTTAGCTGTCCTTGATCATAAGTGTCTGCGTTCTATCTCTCGTGATAGGTTAGGTGGTATAATAGGGTGAGTAATATTGAGGTTAGGCATCAGTCGAGTGGTAGATAAGGAGAGAAAATCAATCGACAAGGTTGTGAAGTTACATCGACTGAGATGGTTAGGGTATGTGTTATGCATGGTAGACTAGCCATCGCCTGACTTCCTCGACGGGCAATGTTAGCCGCTGAGATAAGATGGATCAGGTTGAAAAAGATCTAGTACATGGCGGTCAAACCGAAACATAGCTTCATCGGTCAGTCAAATCCAAAACAACAGATTGAGCGAAGAAATATATTCCTTTTCAATTAGTTCCTCATTTTTGGAGCTACACTATTATAAATTTATTTATTTTTGATTATAGCTTGATGCCACACCGTATTTATAGTGGAAGTATGGAATTTTCAGCATGTGATATAGGTAGCCCAATTTTTCAGGCCAACCATTGATACCGGGTGTGTGTTGGCAGGGGATCGAACCCTGGACCATGTTCATGGTCGGCAAGAGTCCTAACCACTGTGCCACCGACGCAAACAGTTTTTCACATCAATATATTTTAGCAATCAAGTGATTATTTTAGTTAATCAGTTTTATGTTTAGGCGGGAGTGAAATCAGTAGGTTAAAGGTCATCAAAACAAATAACTAATAGATGTTAGTAACAAGATATCGAAGTGCATAAACAGGGGGGTAAAAATTTGACGTCATAATGTCTAAACGAACAGACGGAACAATATGTAGTCGTTTGTATAGAAAACCTACTTCCACTGGACAATTTACTCACTTCCTGAGTTTCGTACCTCTACAATACCGGCGTAATCTGGTTAGATGTCTGATTCACCTGTCCGAAGTTATCTGTTCAAATGAGACACTGGACGAAGAACTCGGTAATAGTCGCGATCTACTGAGTAGAAACGGATATTCAACTAAATGCGTAAACAAACACATGAACTCAGAAAGTAAAAGTCGACGGTCCCCAAAAAG